TGTCCTACCTAATAGAATTCTTCCAAAGCCCAATCCGGTATTTTTAAAGCTAAAATTAAGACGGTTTTGTTTTAAAAGATTATCTCTCTCTTTTCTCCTTTTATTTTTTTAACTTTTTTCTTTTCCTTTCTTTCTTTCTTTTTTTTTTTCTCTCTCTCTCTCTCTCTCTCATTTTCTGTGTTTCTCTTCCTTGTCTCCAGTTTTACTACCTGGTCCTTCGCCAGATGTGTGCCTGTTAGCAGTGTTGTTGTTCAAGAACATCTTGTCCATGCCTTTGAGAGCTTCAGTCAGGTAGTTTTGAAGGGCCGTGAGGGCAGCGCAGATAGCGGGGGCCCCAAAGCCGTGAGTGATGAGGCTGAAGTGAGTCAAGCAGCTCTGAATGCCCGGTTCCAAAATAGGGGTGGGCCGGCTGTTTCCAATGGGCGTCCTGTCCTGGGCCAAGAGATCTGTAAATTCTTTACAAAGTTGCCTGCACGGAAGAGAAAAAGGCAAAGAGAGGAAGAGAAAGAGAGAAAAGCGGTGGTTAGGTTCATCCCACACTTCAAGACAACCAAGGTTGAAGGAAGGGGCAGGTTCAGGCCAAAGCTGATCCCAAGACCCAGGATAGGACCTTTTTGCCACCTTCCTTTCCCCCAACAGGGCTTGGGGATGGGCCATGGCGATCCAGCGGCTCCCTGCTCAAGATGATGTTCTTCAAGAGAGAGGTTTTCTGCAATCGCAGGATAACACCAGGGCTGAAGATAGAAATCTCTCCGGTGGCCACAAGGATGCTTCTGAAGCACTGTGAAAACCCAGCCCTGCTTGGTGGCTCTAGAAATAACCAGGCTGAAAGGAAGATGCGTCATGGGTCTACCACCTGTCTTCCTGGAGGCCTGACCCTGGCTCAAAGCAGCTCCCACCAATATTGTTCCTGGAGGAAAGCACAACATTGCACTGAGAGCTCCTGGGTGGCTCAGGGAGATGGTGCAGGGAAGGGCTAAAATGGAGCCTCCTCTGAGACCGCTCAGGCTGGGCCACCTTGTCGAGAAAAATCAGGACTTTGGGACTCCATGCTGGCTTATTCATTGCATGAGGAGCAAAGCTAGCTTTTCCTATTTTATTTTGGGGGTGGCATCCCAATTAACAGATCAGAGTTGACATCTGGCTCTTGTTTGTTTGCCCATGCCTTTGAAAAAATCAGATTTGATTTTTATAATGAATTCCGCCCCCCACTTTCTTCTGCATTGCTCTGGTCCAAAAGGCCTTCAAGTCAACAGGTGCTCGGGCAATGTAGAAACCCTGGGGGCTGGTGGACTTCCCAAAGGAATAGTTTCTTTGAGACAGATGCCTACCCAGGGACTGGAGAAAAAAGGGCCAGAATTAAAAAAAAAAAAAAAAGAAAAAGAAAAAGAAAAAGAAAGAAAGGAAAAAAGAAACCCTTAAAAAAGGCGTTCAGCTCTCATCCTCTGAAATTCTCTGAAATTCCCAGTGGGTTAAAGGTTTCAGAGGGTGCGGAAAGATAAAGGTCTACCTCTATGTGTATTATCCATTAAGAAAGTGCAAGAGAGGAAACTTTGAATTTGGAGAACAAACAGTAATGAGTCCAACATTTTACATCTTCAAAGAGCAAAGCAGGGTCTGCGAGCAATTAAAGTTCTGGGACATTAATATCTTCTGACCCTGCGGAAAAGGGCAATCAAATTCCAATCACGTCTAAAAAACATCTGGACAAATTTGAGCAAATGATTTTTCAACCTTCCATATATTTCTTTAAATTACACTGTCATCAGAGGCAAGCCACATCCCAGAGCATGAAATAAATGAGAGCTGTTTAGGCTGGTTTTTTTTTTCTTTTTCTTTCTTTTTTTTTTCCCCCTTTTTTTGCCAGATAGACAGAGATGTGTGGAGACACACAGCACCCACCGCCGAGGACCCGAGCAAACTATGAAGCACCCAGTTAGTAGCCTGGGAGGCACATCCAAGCGTAAATCATCGGATACAGCACATCCACCGAGAAAGTCCCAAGGGAGAGAGACAGGTTGGGGGGACCAAATCGAGGATCATTAGCAGTACATGGTGGTGGTTTTTTTTTTGTTTTTTTTCCTTTTTTTTTCCCTTTTTTTCTTTTTTTTTCTTAATTTTTTTTTAATAAACCGTATGGAAGAGACATTGCAATTTGGTAGCAGACAAACAGGTGTGTGTGACCAGCAAGACGGACAGACAGACATGCTGTGGAAGCAAAATACAGACTTTTGGTCCCCTTTCCATAAAGATTTTTTAACTGGGGGTGGCTTGGAAACGATGTTCGGTGCCTAGGGGACAGTCGCCTACATCCTCTATAGGGACAGCGTGTGCTGGCAGAAACCCCACTGCAGAGGGACGCAGAAGCTATAGGGTCTATCCTGCCCATAGGGCCATCCGAGCATCCTTCCTATCCGCGGGGCCGGCATAATTTGGGGACTGGAAACTCCGCCTGCTTTCAAAACGAGCTCAGAGGAAGGGTTTAAGGAGGGGGGGATTTTCTCGGGGGAGGGCAGAAAAGGGGGGTAGTCAACTTCGCACTCACTTTGTAGCAAGCAGCATGTTTTTCCTGGAGTGGAGGTCGCTGGGGTCCGTGTGCTGTCTGTTCAGGTACTCAGAAACAGCTTTGGCTGGGAACTCCGTTTCGCAGATGTACCCAAAATCCCGAGCTAAATGAACGGCCTCACCTGGACGGAACGAGAAGGGGCATTAACACCTCCGGGCACCGCCGGCCCCTGGCTGGGCTGGCTCCGACCTGCCGGGCACCGTGCGGCACCGGGCTGCTGCTCACCGCTCCCTCCGGGAGAGACCAGCTCTTTCGGGCCGTGTTTAGAAACCTTATAACATCCCTTAGGGACAGGCTCCACGTTATATGTTTTCCCTCCACAAGCCCTATTTTGGGGACAGAAGTAACTTTACGGGACTGATTTTCAGCTGATGAGATTTGTCTTTGCCACAACGCACTTGTGGTGGTACGTAGCCACGCAGCTGATTGTGCAGAACCGTGGGAAAACTACACACACGTATAACATACACACACACATAGCATACATACACACACACACACACACACTTTCAAATGAACTGGGCCAAAAAAAAAGCGAGGGGAAACTTAAATCCCGAAAGACAGAAAGACCCAAACTTCCCTTAGAGCAAAGAAACCATTCCTGTTTCAATACACCAGAACACTGTCCAAAATTTTACAGATGTGGACATAATGTTAATATTAATGTCAATTCTTTGTTGGGCGTTATATACACACTTGTTTATACACCCACAGAGAGCACTGGCATCATTATCACAATTATCGCCACATCTGTAAAATGATGGCGATAACTGCATTTCGTCCGATGGAAATTATTAATCTGCTTTCTTAACTGACCATCATGCAACAGGAACTCCTCTCTGCCCGGTGGAAGGATAGCAACTAATGGCAACCTCTCCTGTGAAAAATAATAATTATTCTAACTCTAATTCTAATTGTCACTTTTCCTGCCTGCCTGGTTTCAGGTTTCTTGCCTCCAGAGGTTCGTGTCATCCAACTCCTACTGATGTACTTTATGCCACAAGAAGAAGACAGTAGCTGAAGAAAGGAGGAAAAAAGGAGGGGGAAAAAAAAAAACCCTCCGACTCTAGGGGGATTCCACCAGATTATAGCTCAGCCCCTCTAGAATAAAGCATTAAACCCTTTAAAGCACCGCCTGAGGGACCAGGGGGAAGATTTCCAACACGCAAAACAGATATGTCTAATAACTCCGGGACCATATTATTTTTAACGATCAGGAGTTGCTTTCCAACGTCATCTTCTGCTTTCCAAGGCTTCTCGCTAATCACCAAACCGCTTAAGCGAGGGCAAAGGCTTCTCGCTAATCACCAAACCGCTTAACGAAAGCGAGGGCACCCGGCGGAGCCCGGGGAGTCCCCGCCGCCGTCACCCCGCGCCGGGCAGGGTCCCCCCGGGCACCGCTCGGGTAATCCCGGCCGGGGCTGGCCGGAGCGTTTCTGCTCTGGGCGATAGAATAGCAGCAACGCTAAAACCTGGCTGGTGGCAGAAAAGAAGACAAATCTCCACTCAGCAGGTGCAGCTTCTTCCAAAAGGAGGGAGCTCTCTCAAGATAAACTGTTGATTTGTAAGGAAATCAGGGGAGAGGAGGGTAATGTACAGCTTCCTGCACACTTGACACATTTTAGCATCACTATATAACCGCATGAGCTTTTGAACCTAAAGCCAGCTTTGGGGAGAGGCTGATTTTGCTGTGAGCAGGGTGCACTGGGTTTCACACACGCAGCGGGGGTGAAGCTGCACTAACCCCGCTGCTAAAGGGCAGTTGTCACAGCCGAAATGCTTCACGTCTCCTATAGCGCGACCCTATATCCGTAACCTCTTCTGTGCTTTGCACACTAGGCATTACCTATATGCGGGTACCAGGAGGAGCTCGTTTCTATCAGCCCCCGTCTTTTTGCGAGCCTGCCTTCAGCTCTGCATGCGGTAAGGTCTTATCGCTCACATAACTCAATCAAAAGAGTTGAAAAGTTAATATCTAGCACAAATGTTTATGCATGCTTATATGCAGAAGAGATAAGTGGATTATTTATACGCCTCTCGGTGTGTATGTGTAATGCAGATACATATAATTCATAATTGCATCCATACTATTCCGGTTATGTTTTTTGGAGAAGGTCCAACTTCTCTTAGCATAAACACGCAGATATCCTAAACATATTAGTGGCTCTAGATTTTGCTTTTCAATACAGTAACAACAAATCAAAGAAACACGCCGAACACCAAAACGACTTGAAATGAGGTGAAACTTCAGTCTCCCCTTCCCTCTCTCCTTCCTCAGGAATAGCTTGTCTCTTTGTTCACTTCTAGCCACCTTAAGGTAAATCGCGCTCTGCCACTCTTCAATTGCTCTGATTTCTTTAAAAAAAAAAAAAAAAAAAAAATATTCTGTATTATTTTTCCTCACTGAGCGTCCTGTAGTGGCCATAAATAAGCTCTGGAGGAGCGAATTAACGGGAGGATGGAGCAGACATAGGGTCGGAGAGCAGGCTGGAAATGAATAGCAATGAGGAATGTGCCCTGCAGAGTCACACACATATACGCACATGTATACATACACATGTATACACACATACACACACAACCTTATTCTTGTCACAAAGAGGGATGAATGACCCTCCAGCCAGTGACTTCATTTTTGGGGATGGGATTCTCAACCGTGCCGGTGTTCATCCCAACCCGCCCTGAATTTCACCTCTGCAAGGTTTTCCCACCTGATCCCGAAAGTTGTTTCTTTTTTTCTTTTTTTTTTTTTTTTTTTTTGTTCGTAAAATGTCAGACAGGAGTTCAGAGCAGGCAGGGGTGTGAAGGGAGCTGCGACCCTCGGCTTACCTTCCACCAGGGAGGTGAGTAAAGTGACATTTGCTGCCTTACGCCTGCCGGCTGGTAAATTCAAACCGATTTTTTCTAGCCTTTCTCGCAAAGATCTCCCCCCGTTTTTCGATTTGGCTCTAGAATTGCAAAGAAATTAACATCGTGATTAACCCCGCAGTGTTCCTGGAAGAAACGTTTAGTCTGTGCAGTCAGTGGAGCCTGGGAGGGTTTTCACTCGACATTAAGGACTTCGGGTGTGTTGGTTTCTGCTTGGGTTTGCCGAGATTTACTTAATTTCTCCCAGGGGTGGGAGTGGGGATGAACCCACTTTTCTCCCTGTTTTATCCAGCGAAATCAAATAATGCCGGATAGCAATAATTAATGGACAGGGTTCTGATCTAGAGAGCAAATGGGTTCCTACTGTATGACACTAATTCGTATTAAGATGGAGTGAGGAGATGGGCAGAAAGGTGGAGGAGGAGAATTAAATCCTCAGTTATTCCAGGAAAGAGCCCGAAAGGCTCGAAGGGGGAATGTGTGTGCCTGTGGATAAATAGAAAAGGAAGAAAATATTTATTAAACCATTTCGTGCGTGTGTGTGAGCGTGTTCTTGTGCGGAAAGGCGATGCTGAGAGGAAGGGCTCACCTGAAGGCAGGGTGCGTTAAACAGAGGGAATTGGTTGCCTGAAGGGAGATTTGAATATCTGTCGGAGGTTACTGATAAGGACAATAAAAAGATGAGTGAGCTATAGGTGGGCTATTGTTCGGGCGCCTATACATATGTAAACCCCCAGGGATGCAATCTTGCCACCTGTGAAATCAGGGAGAGTTTTGGCACCTAAGATCCCAAATATCTCTTAGTTCTTACTTAAAATTTGTTTAAGAATTAGCAGTCACACTTAGCAAAAGGAAACCAGAAACGACAGAGAAGCCAGACTGGCTTCCCAGTATTTTATATCAAAGTAAATAGGGCTAGATGGCAGAATTGCAAGAGAGCAGCTTTCTATATTTCATCTGCTCTGAACCAAAAGCTTGTCTAAAATTTAGATTCAAGATAGGAACTGAAGTCAGCAGCAGCTAATGATTATGGCTTGGGCCATCTCCAGAAATCCACTGAAGTTCAATAATGATGTTTCTTTACCTTGATAATTGTATTTTCTACAGTGCATCTCTCAGATGTTCTCCCTGCTCCATTTGTAGTTGTACAGAACGAGCAGGCAGGTTAGCATCTGTAAGTAAAATCTCTGCTGCTCTCACTGGCAAGGATCATAGCTGAACATTGATTACAGACATTCACGTGGAACAGCATCTATTTTAGGAGCCCCTAATTCTCATGTGTATTTTTGGGTGACTGACTGCATGTAGCAGGACTTTCCCCCTCCTCTCCAGACACAGAGCTGGAGCCCCTGACATCATCATAGAATTTTTTTGCATGGAAAAAAAACCCCAAACCCAAACAACAACTTCATTTTAAACCACCTTAGAATCAACGTTTCCCCATTGCTGTTACAGGAGTTGGCAAGATATTTCCTTCTCTAAGATTAGCAACTTTTAAACATGATCTGAAACTTATTCAGAGCCAAATTAATTGAATTTGTTTCTGTCTCGAAGTTATGCTTTATCTTCCAGTTTGGCATATACCTCACATGTAGAAAATGAAGACATCCCCTCTCAGCTTTCCATTGGCTTGAAATGATACCTCATATCATACCAGGACTTCTTCCCTGTTCTGACTGGAGATAGAGCCTTAGCTCACCTTTCTTACAGACAAGTCATACTGACAATTCACAGTCCTTCACTCACTGTCAAGAAGATAAAGGCCTTTCTCCTGTTAGTCTTTCCAGCTGATGACCTCGGAGCTCAAATTCTTGTTGCTGGTACCTAAATGCACGATCCCTGGCTTGATATGATGGAGTGGCAATCAGGCCTCCAGGTTATCCCTCGCTCCTCTTTTTCCTCAATATCAATAATGCCAACTATTTTGAGGTCTTCAGCAAAATCCACCAGGACGTTAGTGGTGATTTGCACAAATGTTAAACAGCAAAGGCCTCAAGACCAACTGGGAGTAATTCCTCTAGCAACCTTCTCTAGACGAAGCACTAAGTTTCTGACTTTCAGAACTATCTGTGATGGCTTTTCTTTAGTTGGGTACTTGCCTACCTTACAGGTTGCCTATTAATCCCCTGCCAATTTCAATAATGTCTTGTGTGACCATGTTAATTGCCATAAAGAAACTTCATGGATTTACCTAGGAAATCCCTAGAAATACATCAGGTCCTGAAATACATGCAGTTCATCCTGCAACATCCAACGGCAACATGGCCATCACGGCATTTTATTTTGTCCATTTGCTGAGAGAGAAGTATGAGGAGAAGGAGAAAAGATAGGAAGTGTGGGCATGTACAAGAGTGACAAAACTTCTTGTCTCAGTTCCTTCATTTTGAGATGCTTTGATAGAAAATGTACAAGGCCGTATCTTTCTCTAGTCTCCCCATTTCATCTCAGTGTCTGAATACAGCATATTTTCACTTTATCCTGAACGTTACACACACATGCTAGGACAGTAAAAACAATGCATATTTGCAATCACCTTTACCGTTGACCAAATATTTCTGGTGCACACATGGATGCCCACACATGGGCATGTTCACGCACTCGCCCCAGCCTCTTACCTTCTAAGTACTCCTCCTAGGAGGGATGCATTCAGACACTCTGGAGGAGAAAGGCGTCTTTGAACTTCTCCCACAGTTACTTTATACTTTGAAGTTGAACTAAGCAAAGACAAGCGGCCAGGTACAGAGCAAAACACCTCTCCGGTGTTGACTGAAATTCCACCCAGGAAGCCATCTTTATTCATCATCAAAGAAGTAACAGATTTTGGAGGAACCGGAACTGGAGAAAGAAAAGGGGAAGAGGGGAGAGAGAAACCATCATGCCACGAAGGAATACAGGATAACCACAGTCTCTCTGACATGCACAGAACAGCAAAATGAAAGGGAATTTTGAATCTCTGGCTACCTCCAGCAACCTAAAGGGTGCTGCTCCCCCAACCTCTAGGAAACTGTTCCATGAATGATGGATGGAGAGAAGGGTGGTGCAGTACAGCCTCTATGCAGGGTTTGATCATTGGGAAATAAAATACATATTGGCAAGCACCTGGCAACTTTCGGGTTTGAGCCTGTGTCTCACCCAGAGCCCCCCGATGCCTTTTGTACAACGGACAGCGCCTTTCTGGAGGGGAAAAAAAAAGGAAAATTTACTTTTTTTTGCTAATGTTTCCATTACTGCTAAGCTGAGCCAGGAATAAATTCACTACACGAAGGGAATTGCTGTCTTAAATAAGTATCAAGGCTGGAGGACACAGCAACCAGAAGACAGCTCTGTTATTGCTTTGTGTTTTTATTAAGTCTGGTTTATGAAATAAAAGGAGTCTTTTCCCTCAGAAAAATGAACACCAGAGAAAAAAAAAAAAAATCTGGTCTAACCATGGCATTCGCCACCTTGATCATATTGTGCTGTCCGTGAAGTAGTAGGAACTCTCCCGCCCCTAAATAAAGCTGATCTAGTTACTGTAACACATATTTAAAGGAAGTTGGGGGGGATCAAAACAGAACAATAAAGCGAAACTAAACAAAATATATACATCTTATTCTGCCCACGATAAAACAAAATATTTCTTTTCTCTGAGAAACTAGTGAGGTTATTTTAAGAGTAACCGAGGGGATTATAACAAGCAAAATTCCTATAATAACAACCAGACACCCTCAGAAACAAACAAACAACAGAAAAAGGCTAAACTAAAAACGAGAGCAATTCCCCCGTGACATGAATTTTGTTTACAAATGAACTTAAATAGCTCCCTCATAATTGTGTGTAACTGGTATGATTTACAGCAGGTGCTCTAATCAATCAACCAATCACTTTAATTTATAGGGAGCCTCGCTGCATTTTCCCAGTTGTTTCATTTCTGCAAGTAATTGATAACAAACCGTACTTAAGGTATGTTTTATGCAGGAGTTAATAAGAGCTGACAGCTGCTACTGCTGCTTCCTCTCGGAATCGAGGCAACACGCCTTTCCTTATAGAAAATATAGGCTGAAATTGGGGGTTTGCTGGTGGTAGAGTCCGGGCATGTTTCAGAGGAGAAGACTAATTGATTACACACCCTCGTCGAGCAGATACTACTTCACAGTCTCCCATTTCCACTCAATCAATTGCAAAACCAATTCGGCAAATAATAGGGTTCTATTATGCACATATGCCAGCTATTTAGGTAGTTATAATACATGTCAGTTAAGTCATAAAAACCCTGTTTATTTGCAACATATCTGGAGAATCAAACCATTAGGGTTGAGGGGATATTTAAGTCGTCTGGAGCTGCTAAACAATAAGATCGGGTATCCTAATATATTACCAAGTGCTAACTACTGGGCAATTGCCAATTTTATAACCTCAGTGTATGGAATAGACACAACCGTGTTTCACTGTTTTTATTACAGATCATTTCCTACTGCCAGACCAGACCCCCACAATAAAATCTCTATAACAGCTAAAAACCAAAAGGCATGTCGATTTTAGATATACATATTGCTTCATACGCCTTGTATATAGTCTCCAGTATAAACAAATTATTTTGAGTGGCTTTACTCCAGGGAATCGGAAAGTGAAATGGATTCCTATTTCTCTATTATTTTTAGTTAGGCACTTTATGCAGCTCATAAAGGCGGTTTCAAATAGTTTGAGAACGGCACAGAAACAGTTATAAAAGAGTTAGAGGCCCGCTCCTGCTTTCGTTGCTATTAATAGGATTTTTGCCATTGATTCTATAGGAGGGGACTCGTTTGGGGTGTCAGAGGTAATACTGGCAGACAAAAAAAAAAAAAAGTCTCTCTCTCTCCTCCCATTATACATAGATATATCGCTCATTTAATGTATGATGTTCTGCAACGTCATTCGAGTGAAGCGTCAAGAAAAAGTTAAAAAAAAAAAAAAAAAAAAAAAGAGTTAGATTAAAGCAGTGCCACCAGACAGATTTTCATGACTGGCATTTTTTTCTTCGGACAAACACACGGGCTCAGTGGTTCGAGTACACCTTTACAGTGGCTATATTTAGTGACCAGTTTATCAGGTCACTGTCCAGTGAACTGAGAAATTAAACAAGAGGCAGCAATTCCACGACCATCTGATCTTAGTCCAAACTCACTAAAGAGAGAGGGACCCGTGCAACGCTTAAATGTACCTCACCCCACTCGCTTTGGCCTTTTGGAGCACTCATTACATTAGTTAACCTTTGAAATATGGATTTTCACGTGTGCTCAGTATTTTTTTTTTTCCCCCTTGCAAATTGCTTTTGGGAAGCAGGCTGGCTCCCTTCCCAGCTATGCTGAGAGCTCCTCAGCTTTTGTTCCTACCACTGCCTCCTCGAAAAGGACCGTATGAACATACCCATCAGTTGGAGCCTAATAACTCTAAACCCATTTTAGAGGCTTACCAGGCGGTGTAAGCATATCTATTGCAATTTCATAGCTTCAGAGAGATGTATTCTATCTAGACTCTATATCTTCTGTAAATTACCTAATGCTGCCTCAAAAAAGTGTTTGCCATGGAATGAATTATCTCTATCTATATCATATCTATATGTTTATCATGGCTCTAGCTTTCCAGATATAGCCCAGGCATTACCAGAGATAATATAACGTGGAGGTTTTAGTGGGTGAAGAGATGTACACGTCCGTGTGTGCAGCTGCATGTGTCAAATCCCTGCGTGTATGTAAATAAACTGTAAGGCACAGTATATTCTTAGCCGTTGTCAACTTTCCCAGTTGATTAGGGATTGCCATAACTGCTGAAATAATACAGAATAACACACACGGATATACGCAGCGTCCCCACCACTTCTGCTTTAACTTTACCCCATTTAGTTCTTGTTATCCCCAGCAGAAACTATTCGATTTTCTTTCACTCCCAAACTCTATTTTCTGTGTGTATGTGAGCATTCCCAAATCTCTGCCTTCTCTCTTTCTTTATTTCTCTCCCTTTCTCCTTTCTCTCTGTTTTTTCTCTAGTTCTTTCTCCTTTTCTATCCCTTTCTTTCTCTCTTTCTTTCTCTCTTTCTCTTCCTGTGCTTACTTCCAGTCTCTTTGTCATTTCTCCCCCTTCCATTTCTCTTCAGCTTATCAATAAACCGGGAGAGCAACAGTAGCCGCTTGATTTGTTAGTAATTATAAGCATACTGTTCCTGCAAACGGGATCTCTAGATGAGTGAGATCGCTTTAAAACGACAGCAGGAAATGGTGGGGAAATGGAGCATGGCGAAACTCAGCGTGAAGCTTTCAGTTCTTTACATGTTTACAATTTTCTGTGCATACATTAAGTCTTAGGGTTTGGGTTGGTTTGTTTTTTTTTTTTTTCCCCGTGGTGGTGGTGGTTCTCTGTTGGGTTGCTCTCCACGAACGGGTGAAAAGGCGCACAAATGGACACGGACAAGAGGAAATGGAAATAAAAGGGCATTTCAGCAACACTGAAAATGAACAATAGGTAGAATTATGCCTTGAAAATAGCTGAGTAACGAGGCTTTAAGCTACGGATATCGTTGCAATAACCCCGGTGAATAATATGATAGTCGATCAGTCAATCAATCAATTAATCAGAATAAATATTTCCTATATTTACTACTAACAAACGTCATGGACAAACTTATTACTAATCAGCTATCAAGCTGCCTTCAAATCTTTTTATCTGCCTACTGGGCCTGAAATTAGTAAAAAGTTCTTTGTCCATTATAACAGGACTTTGTTGTTAATGATGATTGGGTCCGACTTTGTAGCCAAACCTAGAAAGTCTGGGGACAAAGTCTTACCCATTGCCACTAAAAGACCCGGTTCTTATTTTAATTTTAATGAGTAAATACAGAAAGTGTGTGTTCATGTTCCCTTCCCTCCTGTCCCTCTCGTCTCCTCCTCTCCCTCCCTCCCTCTCCCCCACCGCAGTCCCTTGCCCCTGAAAGCTGGGACTAAATTTCAAAGTGAAATGTATTCCCTCGAAATTGTTTTGCATTCAATTAAAGTGGATCATAAGGTTCAATGGGTAATCCAGGAAAAAGCACGAAACTGAGTGGCAGCGAAGCAACATCTCCGATTCCCAGATCTATCACCTGAAAAGCTGAGGCCAGAGTGGTTTTCAGTTAATCATTTATCCGGATACTTCACGAAGGGGTTGGGGAGGAATCTTATGCTGTATTACTAAGAGTTAAAAAAAAAAAAAAGTTAAGACACCTCCTTTCATATGTTTCTTTAAAATAATATGAACAATAGAGCGTGTTTGCAAGGAGACAATGAATTAAGGTGTTAGGGTTAAAATGGCCTTTCGTGCTAAATCAGATGTGAGTGTGCAGACGATCGTCAGGAACAGCTGAAAGTAAATAAATACATCACGATAATTTTAAGGTCACTGACTGTGCCCCAGAGTCACAAAAAATTAACTTGGGCCACGCAAGATTTTGCAAGAGGACAACTTCTTTCGGTGCCAAGCAAATTTCAGATGAGCAGTTGACGAGGGGACCCGATCTTTTACTCCTGACACACGGAAAACCTTCCCTTCATTTCAGCAGAAATCGAGGGAAAGGCCTCAAAACGGGCAGCCGGTAAGCTCTTAAAGCCGAGTTAAATCTGGTATTAATGCTCTTGGTGATTATTATCATCTTGATGATTTATCTGGCTCCCTCCCTCCCACTTCCACCACCCAAATCTTAATGGAACTAGGAGTTAACGATGATTTTTTAATGTCTCGTTGGATTTTTAGACTGTTAATGTACCGCATCCTTCTCATTATTAGTTTATTGATTGTTCATTGACCAGCCCCCTTCAAATCGTATTAACCACCCTCTGCCACTTTAGATTAAGAGAGTTTAAAAAGCACCTTTCATTATTTCACCGCCACCACCACCACCACAGTAGAGTTCAGGCTTGGTAGCTTAATGCTTGCTCTAATGGGGCAGCTAAGAGACGAGGGGCCACGGTCCCTGCCTATTGCATTAATAGCTCAAAGGGGGCTAATACAGAAAATTAGCCTTAAACGAGCTCTGGAGATCTCCAAATGAAAGAGCCATTTATCACGCTGGCTACCTTCACTCCACTCGTTTGCTCTCTCTACTGGGAACAACTCATTTCCTCTTAACTAAATTACTTCAGAAATGTCAAGTAAGCTCAGATAGCAAACATAACAAGAGACTGTGTATATGTAATCTATTGTGCAGGATCGATACGCGAGATAAATCGATAGCCGTGTATGAATCCCTATATAATTTCCTTAATATTTTTGGCAATATTTTTGCATAGATAGATAATTCCCTCTGCAGGCCTGAAAGACCATAAAGCAACAGACACTTACAGTCTGGATGATATAGTTAAGTTTAGACTTCAAGTCCACATCATACTTTTTCCACTACATTGTAATTAAAGCATTTTAGGCACTAAGCTAGGCTTTCATGAAGTAGACCCCCTCCAGTCCTCGTCTAGCAAGTATGTATCACGGGGAGTGCTCCACTGCACAAAAATCAGTCAATACCTACCTGTCTTATCTATCTATGCCATCAGCCTGCAATAACGACTTACGGAGTTTAAATAACTTATTCTTACTTCAAAGTACATCCTCAGAGCTACAAACTGCAGGGAACAAAGCGAAATTGATACTGAACCCTCCCTGTGTTGATCCTTCTCTCGTCCTGATTAAATATTGTCTGCCACAAATGTGACCTACTATATATTACCCATTTCTCTTCCTCCGCACCCAGGAAACTTGCTGTGCAAAAAGAAACGGAGCTCCCAATATTCCTTTATGCTGGAAAGTTTATTAGAGCCCAGCATTACTTTTAAGGAAGAAAATACTGCTACCGTTGACTTTAAAATAGCTGCAGACGAATCTCAGGATCTTTTTTAGTAACCTAATTTCCAAAGTGCATATGTATCTTGTTCATCATGGATAAACTCAGAGTCTTTCTTCTGATGGCTGCAAATAGGCGCATGTAATCCCACCTATGTGGGACTGTGTGTGCGGCAGCTGCTCGACCTGGGGCCGTCGCAATGCCCATACACAGTAAGCACACCTAAATCTATACGTATAATTATTAACATTCACATTTTAGTGCTGCTCGCTGTCTAACAGTACCACTCAGCAGGCACATTAAATGTCTCTGCTGTCCTCGTCAGCTGAAGGAGGGAGAGACACAGGCGGGGGTGGGGTGGGTGGGTGAAAGAGTATTTTGGACTGGGTGATCAACAGAAAAGTGTTTTGCGAAAAAAAACCCCAACAACCCAGATTGCGAAAGGAAAATGCGAGCACAGACCAATGTTAGAGAGAAGTCTCTCGACCACAAATCAAGCACCAATTAATCAAATACACCCAAGAGGAAACACCGTGTATGAGGTGTCAAGCGGGGGTGG